ATTAGACTGGTTTTGAACTCACATTCAAAGTGCAAAACGGCTCGCTCTGCAACGGATTCAAACCACCGACCTTTCGCCTTCGATGCCAACTACTAAACGTTACACCAGTGCACCACTGACGCACACAGCACCGCTCTTAAACTCAAAGAGCGCCCCCGAGATAGATCTTCAGGCTTCCTTAACTTCATAACTCTCTTTAGAAGGGCGCTCCGCAAAAACGGGAATCAGATTTAAAACAGCGTTCATAGCTGCTTCAGACGATATGCATTTCATATCAAAAGGCCACGGCCATTGAAAGTACTTCCCTTGTTAGTATGGCTGAAAAACGACACATATTGAAATCATCTTAAAACGCGTCCACTATTCTTTGGCTGCACAGCATCACTCTGAACAAAGCTATGGGTTCTTTGTCTGTCAAAAATTGCATGCTTATCACATGCTTTTATCGGCATAAACATCCAGGTGCTGTGCAATTATATAATGCTCGCTATCAGCATCGAAGAACTTAATTGAAGGCGGTATGTATAATCTTCGTTTGGTAAGGATTTCTGTTTGCGTCTTTTCCGAAGTAAGGTAGGCGCCCGCCCCTGCGAATCATTTTGGGGTTTCCGGTCAGGCAGTCTAATTTGCCGAGTTCAAGTTTGACGGGCGTGCTGCCATACCATTTACGCCTGCTGATGGACATTAATCTTTCGTTGCATTACTTTCGTTTAAAACCCAATTCGCTCATGTTCTCTTTTTTATTTCTCCTTCGCTTCGCAGTTCACAAAAATTTGCTGATTTTTCCTTTTGCAATTGAGCACCTACAGTCCTTTTCATCCCGGAGTAGGCGAAATATTCCAAGTGAAGTAGCGCGTCTGCACCGCCACTGGCTCAGCGAGATAGATTGGGATAAATAGACGTAGACTGCAAAGCGGCGCGAATCGCAGAGCGGACTCGTCAGGAAGGGACGCAGGAGTTCCTAGCACCTCTATTCGCACCAGCATTCACACTCCAGAAGGCTCCTCGCACCTTTGCGCAACAGAGGTCAAACCCCGCCCACTCCTTCACTGATCTCATTCAAAGGCTGCGGGCTGAGGGAATAGCATAGGCATGCAACGAAGATTCATGAGAACTCGTCATCTTCCGAGGCAAACCTCCTAATTATTGCACTTTATAAGCAAAGACACTTTGAAACCCCAAAAACCTTACGGTAGTCTAGGTAAGCAGTGAGTATATTTTTGGTTCGAAACTGCTTTGCGAAGGAAATGCGTTGATAAGTTGACTTCACTGCAATGGATTTTTCACAGATAAGTTTCTGCATTACCATAGATTAAAGCTTGCCAAACTTACAGAGCATTCCTATGAACGTTCCAAGGATTTCTTGAGGATAACTATCGCCATTTTGATACTACCACTTTGGCACTATTAACAACCAGACTCAAAATTACGAAATTTGCAGTGCAATCTTTGAAAACTTGTTTCTCTAAAGTGTCAACAAAAAGATAAATTGGGACAACTATCTTGAAGCGCCAGACCCACTTCTTTTCCTAAAGAAGCCATGAACTTAGGCTCAAATCTTAGTAAGTGATTGAATATTCTTTGATTTAGGCGAGAACTTTTGCATCGACCTATATAGTAGGTCAAGATCGTTTTGGCATGCTAGAAAATCTACAAAGTTTCAGCGGATATTCAGCTAAAATCAATTGCAAAAGTATCAACAAATCTCTCCAGAAATAGGTTTTTCTTATTATTCATTATCATGAAAACCACCAGAACATGTATGAAATTTCAGTATTGAAAACGCATTCAAACTCTGTGAAGAAGTTGAAAATAATGAGGAGCTCAGATTATTCGGTTAATAAGTCGAGATCTAGCTTCAAAACTGTTCTGAACCACAATAAGGTAAATTTCGCTTATTCTGGATAAATTCTGTGGTTTTGATTCGATAGAGCACAGCAAGCCTTACAAGGTAGTGTTTTGAAAAGTTGCATCAAATTTGATCTACGCGAATTTGTGGCCAAAAATTAGAATCCAATTCTCCGAAAAATCCGAAAAAATTTGAAACTCCATCAAAAAGTGCACTTGTGCAACTTGCTCAATGGATATGTTTTCACATCAGAGGAACCTATATACACAACTCTGGCTGAAAATCGAGAAAGCGTTTGGTATACACCAAGCTGGTACCACTACGTTGTATAACTGTTTATTGGATAGTAGCGGAGCAGCCGCTGACTATCAACAGTGAATATGCGGAACAGCCGCTGACGATAGTGGTAATATTCGAACCAACACCAGAACTGAGTATTCAGGCCCTTTTATGCCACTATTTTGGGCGTGGATGACCTGAATGCTCACTTCTGGTAAACAATAGTATCATACAGCATGAAGGATTGCCTACATAAAAGTAGGCGCCGCCAAGTAGACTATCAAGCACAGCGGAGGGGTTACCTGGCGGCTTAAGTGGTCAGTGAACAATAAAGTTTGTCAACGACAAGCTAACAGATATACTAAATATGACACGGTAGATCTACAGTGCTAAAGGTTGTAGATTATTTGGATAATCTACGACAAAGCGGAAGTATCTTTGCTTCCGACAAAGCGATGCCTACATGTAGACTTTATAACTTCTCATCTGTCACCTTCCATCCGTCATTATTCATCCATTCGACAGAACACATTGGGACTATTCTCCAAGCCTGTACAACTCGGAATAAGACTAGCTAGTGGGCGGAGCAAGTGGGCGGAGCCGTCTCAAAGGTGCGAAGGCCCCTTGGAGGTGCTAACTATCCCTGCTAGGAAAGGCGGCGAGGCTTTGGGAACTCCTGGGCCGCCGCCGACTCGTCATCCCAATTTCCGCCTAAACTGAGTTGAAACTTACTGTACAAACCAACAAAAATTCATATCTTTGGTATTCGGACAGTTAGGTAGCGCAATTTCGATTTATCGTTGTTGGATTTGCAAGATTCCTTCAACTGCTTATGCCAATTTTCATTCCGATCTCTGTTGTTTGTTTGTTTTTTTTTGCGAAATTACGACTTGTCCCACTGTCGACATGTATCAACCTCCGTCTGGGATTACATAAAAGAAGTACTACTTCACTTCATTTTTTTACATCGAAGACTTCAAATTAAAGCGTTTCGAGGGTTGAAGTCTCTATAGGCTTGATTTGTTGTTCTCACAACAGTAGTGATTAACTTAGTTGTAGCTACACACTGCACTCAGGGCCCGGCACGAGTCGGTTTCTAGTGTTCGAAATCTATGGTTTTTTTCAAACTTGTCAAAAAATTCTATATTGTGGTAATTTTAAGCGGTAAATGCTTGATTACCTTGCAGAATCAAGGTTTGATCATCAACTATTTTTAAAGCTTTCAAATTCGAAAGATTTTGTAGGGTTTAACGCATTTTTGTTTTGAGCCATTTTTTGAAAATTTGGGGCTTTTGCAAAAAATGATTTCGAAAGGCTTAAAAATGCTAGTTTCGAAATACCTAAAATAGTGGTTTGCATCAAGCAGAGCCAGCTTTGTCTTTATGTTATCGAACTTGTTCGACCCTCAAACTGAAAATTCTGAGGATTAGCTAAACTGAGGAAAGCAAAAATGACGGGTTCAAAATTTGGGAAATTTTTTCGACAACAAAGAAGTCAACTGGGCCATTGGCCTCACTGCTGAGAAGAGAAAGAAAAGCTACAGTTAATACAATTTAGGGTACTCTTCTATAGCTGTTCTACACGTGTTGTGGAGAGTTCGAAATGGGGAGCTAAATGTTCTCATTACTTTTGACTCAACCTAATATTTTATTCTTGTAAAAAAGAGTTAAATTTTGGCTGGTAAAATTAACTAACTAAGAAACGTAGTAAAGGCACAGAAACTATCAAGTTTCATAGTTTCTTCACTATCCAGTATCGGGTTCATGAATTATAGGCTGTATTAAACCCTTCAGATCAGGAAACTGAGCTGAATTCCCAATTTCCCAATCGGCGTTGATAATGCGATTGCCCATATTCCTATGCTTTTGAAAGGCCACTTGAACTGGTAGTTGGCTCCCCGATTAACTGCCGTGACGACCTTGCCCGCTACCGTATTATAAGGCCGGCGGGAGGGACTGCCGTAAATACTGTAGCCTCTTTTACTGCATTTTCGTAAAACTCTCTGGTGAAATTCTTTCCTCATCTTATACTAACAAGGGAATGTTCAGAAGTCGAAGTGGCCAACGCTAACAAGCTGCACACCTTTCGATGCACCATGGAACGCGGATTTGAAATCTGTCTTCCATATCTGCAGAACGGCTTTGTAGGCGAAGTTATGAGCAGCTGTAACGTGAAAAAATTGTACACAAAAATTGCAAAATTAGGCACATTATTGCCTTCTTAACTCAGCTCTAGATATGGGCTTATCAAATGACCTAGTGTTTGCATGTCTTTCCCAGCACTGAGCCGACAATGGCTCTGTACAACCAAGTTTGCCTTTTACATGCATGATTTCTTAACAAAATAATGGCCTTCAACGGCTTATAACTTCATCCACAAAAGTGTTCTGCAGATAAGGAAGCCAGATTTAGAGTCAGCACTTTATGCTGCATCTAATGGTATGCAGCATGCTTGATTTGGCCACTTCGATTTCTGACCATTCCCTTGTAAGTGTAAATGAGGGATTTCTGAGATTGAAATTGAATAGACTTTTATCAAGTACTTATAATGTTTTCCATGCAGCAAATGCGGATGTCAAGCAATATGTGTTGCGATAGACATGTTTATTCAAAGAATCGTCAGTTTTTTGTCAGCGTTCTCAGCGTTTCTTACGGCTAAACCTTTGCAATGATCAGTAAAAGTAATAACGCTACAAGACGTTTCATAGTTCTAAAGCCTGTCCTTTATAACAAATATTGCTATCAATGTCTTTCGTCATACACTTTTACAGAAAAAATTTATTACGCAAGCTGACAACTTCCGAATATGCTAAACTAACAACCAATGAAAAATCCTATCCGTTTGATGATACAAAAATCCCAATGTCCCTGGTTCACGCTTTTATCACCTTTCCTTCCGAATCATATACTTTCGTTATCGGTGGAGGTACAATCCCCTTTGGCTGACCTTCACGATGTGGGTCTATCCAACCTTTCCCTTGTGGAGACACTACTTTTTCCTCTTCTTCATAAACAGAGTTTGGCTCCTTGATTGATTCTCCTTTCTTCTTTGGTGGAATCGGCCACACTTTCCGCTGGTCTCCATCATCTGGGTATGACCACTTGGATCCTTTTCCCCACGGTATAAGTGTTACTAGCTCCTGTTGTTCGTCGTCCTTTAACTTCGGAGGGCGAGTCGAGGGAGGATTACTCACGCAAGGTTCGAATTCACTGTAACAGAATTGTAAACTTTCTCAAAGCACATTTTATAAATTGCTTTTTACTATAAGATCGTTGTAAAGACGTTACAAACAGCGGAATCTCACGAAGTTTCTTCTACAATCTTTGCACTTTTGACAAATCTCCACAAAACGATCTTTGATAAGTTTTTTTTTTTGAAAATTTCCCATAAAATCAAAAAAGATAGTGCAGGGAGCAGCAATTAGCGGTATTAACACAAATGAAATTATAAACTACTTGGCAACCTACTTGAGATCTTTGCAAGGGTCTGTAACATCCGGAGAATCAGTTGGAAATTGCCAATCTAAAAAAATGTAATTTCGGCTACCATTGATGATTTCAAGCATTAACAATAAAAAAATTTCATGAATTTGTTCATTTTTTTGTTTAAGAGATAAGGAGGACACGCATTTCCTTGCGTTGCTTTTATTGTTGGAGCTTTTTTTGAGAGCTATAAGGAACAACTCAGTAAGTGTGGGGAGGAAACTGTTGTTCTTGAGGTTGTTCTACTGAGAATCATGCATTGGTGGTTTCCATCATGCATAGATTTTGCTTTGCTCACGATTTGTTTCCTATAAAAACAAGCCTAAATTTTTCATAAAATTCTGTAGATACATTCAGATACATACTTACAATATTTTAAAACGAATGATTATTTTCAAAGCGAAAAACGAGAGAAGAAATCCAACCCTTTCCATACGAAATGGAAAAGGTTGGATTTATTGTCAGGACAATAACGAAAAATTTGGGTTTTCATCGTTCGCCAGACTTAAAGGCAGCGTCCGGGCAAAATTTCGCCTCTCATGTTTCTGTCATTCTGGGGCCTTCCCGTGGCCCTGAATACAGCTGTAAAGTCCAAATTGTTCAACACTCCCAAAAAACCCGATTCTTGGGGACCCTCTCTTCAAGAAGCGGACGAGTTTCGGATTGCTCGTCCCCATCGCATGCCAGCGGAAAAAGCTGCAAATGTACGGATGCAGTTGCATTGCAGTGTGCAGTGCAACTGCAATGCAACTGCAATGCAACCGCACACCTGCGTGAGCACTCGTCCTCAGCGGTGGTTTGTGATACGAAGGGGCAGTTTGTGATACGTATCACAGGCCCGTATCTCCTTTTAGAGGCCACATCAAAGATTCGGACCAACGCAGATCGGATACTCATGGGCCCCTCTCTATAACTATATGCTAACCTGGGTGGATGGATCTTGCCCGGACGCTGCCTTTAAGCATGCATGGTATTAAAACGCCATTTTCTGGCATACGCGAATCACAAAGCTAGCGCTCGTGTTTTGATCAGAGTCTATAGATTCCAAGCAATGGTAAATATTGCCAGATCATTCAAAATCTAAGTATGTATCAACACAATCATGCATATCTCAACTTTGCAATATGCTCTACCCATTTGTCGAAAAAAATTTCTGTTTTTCCTAGATCAAAAAAACCATGCCACCGATAACTTTCTATTCAAAGATTTTGTCTTTTGGCATGCTGCACTTGCAACAAAGTGAAAATCATGAAGCTTTAGGTCCCGGGCATGCTCCATGCGATTGGCAAAATCCAAGAGTTACAAGGAATAGTAAGTGCATTCTAAATGTACCGAAAATAGAGCTTTTCACTAATCTGCGTAGGTTATATACCTATGGTAGTGGTCTGAGTGTGTTGGACTCAAGGAAATTTGGGAATTTTTAAGCCCTCTGGCGACTAAAACAAATCCGCGTAAATATGATGGGTACTTACCTATTGTGGGCAGACTGAAAATGTCTGCAGTTGTTGCTTCTTTTTCGGATGTCGTCTGTGTCGCTGACGTTCCTGTAGGGTTCACGCGTTCTTTCCAGGACGAATTTGAAGTAAGCGAGATTTGCAACTGACCTTCCGCTATAGTAGACGTCGATGCTGTAGATGTGGTGGCTGTGGTTGTGGGAGACGAGCTTTCAGAAGCAACTGTACTTTCGGTTGGTATAGGTGTAGTAGCTGTAAAATTGTGGAGTTTGTGAACGTTCACAACCTCTTTCATATGTATGCATGTGCACTTTTTCCCTCAATGAGCCCGGATAGCGGTTTGACTTGAAGTAATCTCAATTTTTGAGTGACCCTTATTAGATTACTTAAATGTCCACCTTTACTACAAGTTTCCTTGAATAATGAGAGTCATGTGGTTGAATTTTCAAGAGCGAAATCTTGGTTTAAAAAAGATTAACGACATTAGCAATCTCTAGCTGCAATACCTCGTATTCTGCTTTTTAGGCAAGTTTTATGTGCAGTGAAATTTCAGTGAGAATAAGTGGGTATAATGAGTGCAAAAGCAATGAATTTGTAAACATCAACTTCCAAAGTAAAAGGTGAATTTTTTCCTCAAAACTACTCTACAAAACAGTGAGGTTCGAATAAGTATGATGCACCAAATCTCGGTATAAACACGTTCATTCAATGGAGGTATTCAAGCAAGCTTATAGGATGACCTTAATTTTTTGCAAACTCCTGAAACAGAAAAAGCCGATCATTTTGATCCTCTAAACGATATTTCTCCCAAAAAAACTTCCTTACGCTCATATAAGTGGAAGACACTAATGTTCATGGCTACATGCAATTTTGTATTTTTGAAAATACATTGACTTTATGTGGGGGATAGCTTTAGCATATATCATACCTTTCTCAGACGATGCTATTGTCGGTGAAGCTGTCCTAGGTGGGCTTTCTGTCGAAGTTAATGCTTGTTCGGGTGTTGTATATGCTGTAATATTTGTTACAGAAAAGATTTTAAAGATATGTTCACCCAGCTTATCATGATTTCGTAACAACTTGCTTGCTGAGAAAAAAGAACTCTTTTTCAAGTCGATCAGCATTGAGTACCACCTCTTTCTAGCTTTGCAAGAATACTTTTGCACGGAACCCAAGAATGAAGAAGAAACCAGCAGAAAAACGAATGAGCGCCCTTTATTTTTTGTGCAAGGGCCAATCTGGATAGCAGACCTCGGCACAGATGGCTTGCAAGCAAGCTGGATATTTTTGAGGCCAAGACGCAAAAATTGGGTTTTTTAGTCGACGTTTCGTCTTTGAGGTTTTTTTAGGGTTTAGGGTAAAAAATTCCGAAAGTCAAGGGGACTTCGATTTTTGCGTTCTCCAAAAGCCACCTCGTGCCAAGCCCTGGTAAGAAGTACGGAATTTTTTGATTTTCCTCCTACAATTGCATGCTGAAAATTATTTGAACACTAATCAAACATTGAAATACAGTGAAAATTTTAAGCAGAGCTTTACTTTCAAGTCGGTAGCAAACCTTCAGAACAAAAAAAAATCGCAAGAAAATTGTATCCCAGGCCCAAACCTTTGAAGTTGTTTCCTGCTCTGCTAATTTTTAAAATGATCTTTGACAGTTGCAACGAAAGATTCGTTGCACCCTTTAACAAATACGGTTGTGACTGAACTTTGCCTTTCCTGATTTCTCTGATTAATTAAGATAGTGGTATTATTAAAATGTGAATTTTGGCGGAAACGTTCGATATAGAGAACGAGGGCTTGAAGTGCATTTGCCAGACGAATGAACATTTTGTAGCACACGTATGATTGTGGTTTGATGGTGATAATTCGACTCTCGGAGAAATTAAATAGTAAGTGTAAGCATCCTCAAATTTTTTCAGCCTAGAAGAATTTTGAAAGCTTTTGTCAGGCGCTTTCGTGGTCGTTTTCACTCATTTTAAGTTTGCTATTTTTCGCAAACGACGGACTTCTGATCCATTGAATTAAAAAAAAACCGTGTAAAAACACCAAATTGCAGCTCATCAGCCAGTAATCTGTTGAAAAGTTCTCATAACTTAAATCTAACTTAGTGCTGATGCCTGGCCGTCAATTATTCTGAAAACGTCAAAATAGCTTTGACACCAACCTCCTGGACAGAAATACACACAGAATTCAAACGTTCCATAATGATATCCATCACTCAAGCATAGCCACTGTCTTGAAATGCATAAATAATGATTTTTGATAGGTTACGTGTACACCTAGAGAAAGTGCCACTTACAGTACATGAGTATGTGGCTCCGGCTCTCTAATGCATAGTTGCCAGCCTGAGACTTTGTTTGTTCAATAAATACGTGATTGTTTTGGGAAGGAGTAGCATAATCTCAGTTTTTTCATTGCGATCTACTGAACTAAGAAAGGCACACCTGGCACTGATGTCGTTGGTGCTGACGCAATCGTTGAAGAAGATGTTTCTATCGAAGTTGTGGTTATTGTAGCTGGTGATGTACCTGTAAGTAGTGAGTCTATACAATTCAGTTCAATAACTTTTTTTGCAAAGCGTTTGTGTTTTATAAGAACCGTTCCAGCGAGTCCAAACAAAGTTCTGGGTAAAGTTTTCCATGTTCACCTTAGGTTAACGTCCTCTTTCATCTCTTTTGCAAAATATTTTTATATGAGAAAGTTTCAAGATTCAAATAATCTTTCTGAACTGACCTTGACAATATTCGAGACACTCTTCATGCGTTTCGAAAACTTCACTTTCATCATTTCTGCATACGAAGAAGCTAAATGTAAACATCATAATTCTTTGAAACAGCCACAAGATAATATTTCTTGGCTATAACTCACTCTAGTTTTATTTCAGGGTAAAATTCGGTAAACCAAGTGCAGTATCCTTCTGAAGTTCGATTGGAGTAATCTTTTGATAGGTTTGTCACAACATAATCGTTAGAAAAAAGCGAAAAAAGTTCGAAGTTTCAAATCAAATCATAAGTTGACGGGATATATGTCAGAATAGAAGCAAGTTACAAGAAATAGGCGTTCCGAAGTAGAAGATGCTTTTCTTATGAATCTAATAATTTTGAAGGCTTCTTCATACCCATAGACGGGATTTTATGTCTATGTAGTGTAGGCGTGGCCAAAAATATTCTGTGGTCATCCCCATCAGAAAATACGTTTTAAACGAAATAGAGCCTGGCACAGCAGTTACAGATCCAGGTTGGAGTTTCTTGAGGCGAAACGAAATTATCCACAAAAATGGCAGTCTCCGATGTGAAGTGCTTATTTATCTTGTTCCATGAGGATGATTTTTGGTTTCTTATTATTGAGCTTGCAATTTCATTTCAGTATTGATGGTACATTGCCTGGGTTACAGAAGAGAAGGACTTAAAACGAATAAAATATGCCTGGTGTGTGGAAGTGATCGTTTACTGTTAACAACATTCAAACTGTAACCTGTCAACTATTTTTTGGGCGCCATGATAAAGGCATTTTGGAAAAATCTTACGATAGCATAGAGAGTAACATTTACTTGTGACCTCAGCGATTTTTTGTCGAGCAGAATCTTGCAGTTCGAGCGCTAGTTTTTGAAAATTCTTAGCTTCAAAGAGTTGCTCGGGGATGACCCGAACGTTACGCAGGGCTGTCCTTTGATGTGGAGCAGCTTCCAAGTTCTGCTCAAAATATTTGTTACCAAAATGTTGAACTCCATAGTATGGAAATTAAGTAAAGCTACCAAGTTACGTCTGGAATTGTTTGAATAAACTAACCTTTGCAGGCCTCAGTGCAAACGTTGAAATTGTAAAATATGTCAGAATCATTTCCGCACGTGTAGTATCTGAAACACAATTATTCCAGGCTAATTTAGAAGTAAATCGAATTTTTATAACTTACTCGTAGTCGACTGCAGGGTACTTTTCGGTCTTTGTTCTGCATATCGACGAATCTACAGAAACGCTTTTATTTTTATGTAATTAATTGCTCAGCATTTTTTGGAAATTTCGCATTGTTCTAGGTGCAAAAATTGTGCAGACTGTGATTGCAGTTTTGCTCTCAGACTCCGCATTTCCTATTTACTCTTCGAAATTTTGTTGCTAAATTAGCCCCCTTACCCCTCTTCCCGAGTTTCTGCATGTGACCTATACGAAATATGAGTTTCCGGAAATTACTTGGTTTCATTTGTGTATAACTAGATAAACTCTCATCAAGAGCTTGAACCGAGCATACGAATTTTTTTTCGCCAATTAGGAGAGATAGGAAATAAAATAGCAACATTTAGGACAATTTTTGAATTTTTCGGAAGAGAGATGTTAGAAAAAAAATTCTATAAGACTCTACTACTATACGACATGCTTGAAATGCTATTCTTCCAAATTGAAATTTCAAAGTAAAGAAAACCCATGTTCGTCTGTATGATAGAAGTATCTAAATCTCGAGGGCAGTATTTACAACGCGATTTGTTGATTACCAAGAACCCGGATGTTGTAAGTATGTATTCTGCAAAAAAATAGTTTGTGCAAAGAGTATTCAGTTTTTGGTACCTTCCACTGAAAAAATTCCCCCTTTTTAATTTAGTGGTACCTAGGTTTAGCAAACATAATGAAACGAAAAGCGCTCAATACTCACTTTTCGAAAAACAACTGAGGCCAAACTTTCCAAAGACCCTGTATTTCATTAGGCACTTTTCGAGATGTGCTTCAGAGCATGAAAATGCGAAAAGTCTAAAGTACGATGGTCTCACCTGTCGTAGCAGTAATGGATGTATCCGTAGTAGTTGCACCACTGGAAGATGTTCTACTTGCTGTCGATTCTGCTGTCGAAGATGTGCTTGATGATGTCGTAGTTGATGCTACAAAAAGTCACCGATTAGTCTATTGGTTCGTACCTTTCAAGGTTTATACCCTAGATAGGGTGTTTAATTTAAGGTGAGCATGTTACTGATAAACATTCAGAAGTTAAAAATTACTCCCAAAATTAGTTTGCAATGCAGCTTTCTTCATTTACGTCGCTTTAATGCGAAGATTGCAAAACAAGAAATGTCTTCTTTGACTGATGTTGACTTAGCTGGGAGTCGCAGTTTTTTCAGAGGTTAGGAGTGACAATTTTGGAGAACGGAAAATAAGAGACAATTTGATGAGGACTTAAGAGTCAATTTCGAGCCTTATCTTGTAAAACTAATAGGTTCTCCTATACGTCTTTTGATATTCAAACCGTCACAGTAATATTTCTCAAATACTAGGGCACCCGGAACGGTTTAAATTTGTGGCAGTATTTTTCAATAGATAAGTTATATAAACACGTATGCTGTAAGAACCAACTACCGTAGAAAGAAAATTTGCTAATAAGTATGTATTAGGTTGTCCAAAAAGTAAACTCCATTTCAAATAATTCAAACTATTCTTGTTTTTCTGATAGACTTAGGGTATCATTCGATAGAGCGAATCAAGCCCCACACAATGACCATCAAGGATTCGCCTAAGTCGCACTGTAAAGTTTGAAGCTAAAATCAAGAAAAAAAATCTTTGTCACATGAAAAAGGATTTTTGCAAGAAAAAATCCTACGGATCACCAACTTGGTCATTATGCAGTAGGCACATAGCAGTCAAATATGCCTTTGAAGGATTTTTTTTCTGCGCATAGAAAGCGAGAAAAAAAGATAGTCAAATGGCAAACTCTGCCCTCCAGCCCCTCCCACATATGTCATTGTATACTACAAGCCTTATTAAATATAATCTTCTGACTTTACTGTATGGGCTTCTAGAATTTTCACAATCGAAAATTACCAAAAATTACTGAACTGCGATTTTCCGTTTTTTTTCGGCAACTCGGAAAATTGTATATTCTGGCATGGTTTTATGAGGATAAAGCTTGTACGAACTTTTGAATGACATTTTTTGAAGCTTGCTTTGATCTATCGAATGGCACTCAATTTCTATTGAGAATATGGCTTTCATTTCGCTATTATGGTATTGAGCCTGAAGACAATGATAACCGACCCGTGCTTGTTGTTTCCATAGACTTTGCTGTTGATGTAGCACCTGTGGGTGTAGTAGCTGTTGGAGTAGACGTTGCCATTGATGTGACTTCTCCTCCCTTTCTTGTTCCTACAGTAACTGTTAGTATCTTATTGTTTTTTATTTGTTTTATGAAAACCCTATCTGCACTAACACCTACCAGTCTCCAGCCCTTGGGAAGGTAAAAAATGCGAATATTTTTAAAAGTAACATAGTCACTTACGATTGCATCGCGTCTCACACTCTCTTACGTTTGTGCCTGTGATGCTGTTGTTGTGGACGCATATGTAGTTTCGGAACCTGATCAAGGAATAATAGCAGAAACATATTTGTTAGGCAAAGACTTTTTCCTTCTAACTCACTTCTCTCCTCTTTCATCCTTGGGATCTCGGATGCACAAATAATTGCCTTAAGACAATATAAATCCATGAGTTGGTTATTTTTCTTCAGCAGTGTACCAAGGTTGATAACCTTTGTTTCAACTAGCTTGGGTGCTGGAAGGCGGGGCTTTGTGACCCAATTAAGGGATCCCGTTCGAGACGCAGTCTGCATCTCTCCCGCGCAAGTGCTCTCTGATCATTGCCTGACCTTAATTAGTTCACGAAGCCCCGCCTTCCAGCCGCTAAGCTGTTGAATCAAAGCATACAGTACTTTGTTGCACACACTGACGTTGAACAAATTGCCTTCTTCCGAGTTCCAAAAATTCGAAAACACGTAAGTAACCCTCCGATCAGATACCCTGTCAACTGCGAAGGGAAGCCCAACTCTCTAAAATATCAGTTTCACCAAAAATGCAAAAAATGAGCTAGTGCTCACCATAACAGTTGGTAAAATTTTATAAAATGCAAAGTATTAGGTCGTTCCGAAAGTAATGTCGCTTTTTCCGAATGAACGCCACTATCCGTGGAATCAACATTTTCAAGAGCTTTTAGGAGCATTCGATGCCGCATTTCATCCTCTTTCTAATGGTTCTAATTTCACTGTATAATGTCTAATGAGCTCTTGAAAAATTATCAAAATCTGCGACTCATGCTTTTTGCCATGGTCAAGTTCGGTAATTTTTCTAAATTTTTGTACCTAATATCCGAGAAAGTACAAGTGGCAGTCAGATAGAGCAAACACAATAGAACACAGAGTAATTTTTTCTTTTTCTTAGGTTGCTTCTCAGAGTTTCTACAATCAAATTCTCAATGCCATCAAATTCCATATTTAGTCAAGTCACACCTCACAGAACAACAACCGGCAAGCGACTCGGGTGTCACTCGATGCAGCTTTTTCTCCTCTTTCTAGCGGTTGTTTTTTGTTTCCGATTCATCAAGTTTTCCGGGATAAAATCATCAAAGTTCAACTTTTCCAAGGCACCTCAAGGTGTACCCGAAATTTTCGAAAGTTGCTAAACTGAGGCGGTAAATGCTCGTTTGGTCTGTAAAACTATTGCCAAACCATAATCCATCTTTGTAAGTTTTAAAATCCGGCGACTTGTCGGCGTTTGATGCACTTGTGTTTGAAACGAGCCTGCTAAAATTCGGTGGTTCCGTCAAAAAATCTGTCCAAAAATTATGACGAGCTCTGGAAAGTAGAAAAAAGTTTTGCTGTTTCCTGTAGGATTTGCTCCATCCATCCATCACTTGGACAAACTTGGCCATCTCAAAAAGCATAGGTCGCAGATTTTGACTCTTTTCTGGAAGCTCATTGATTGCATTGCAACGTCTTCATAATTTTCAGAAAGAGAATGAAACGCTGCATCAAATGCTACCAGAATCTCTTACATATCTTTGTTCCACGAGATGTAGCATACGTTTGAAAAAAGCGACATTACTTTCGGAACGACCTAATATAACAGAATATAGCCTCAAAGAATATACAATTCTATCATTCGTTAAGGTGATCACTAGCTTAATTTTGCGTTTTAGCAACACTAATGTCGTCTTAGAAGGCTGAGATTTCTACAGTCGACAAAGGTTTAAGATATACGGATATCGGATACGTTACTTCTGTGTATTCAAACTTTCAGACTTGGGGCGAATTTTTCGAAACGTCAATCTGTGCAGTAAAGTCGCGCACCTTTTTGGTTCACTTCTGAAAAGAGCAACCAGAAAAATATATGCAATGCCAAAGGTCATCAGTCGAAATTGGATTCTCATCTATGAGACTGATAAATTCTGATAAATTGAATGCACTGCTTCCTCACATGCATTTGGGTCTTTAGTTATTGTGCTGCCAGTGAAGCCTTTACCAAGTACCAAGTATCGACACAAGAGAAATCTAAAACAAAATATTCTGTTAAATCAGAAGAAGAAAAACAAGGGACTTTTGCTTGCTTACACTCCCGCAATCGTTTGGTTGCAAAAACAGAGTCCTGCATCAGGTCCTGAAAAAATTTTTTTATATTAACAGCTTTCTAATGTGAACCACTGTTCGATCACATTCGATATTTAACACTCACAATAGGCGCGCAATTCTCATAAACTAAGTTTTTTCTATCATGTCACTTTCCAACAATTGTGCTCAATATGTTTTACAAGAAAAGAATACTAACATAATCTGGCAACCCAGGAAAAAATGTTTATCGGTAGACACGCCTTGAACGCCGATTCCAAATCTGCTTTCCTCTTCTCCGGAAACAATTTTCCGAAAGAAATTATGAAGGTTTAGAAGTCTAAATTTGTCATGTCTGAATTGGCTTGAAATTAGCTAAAGCTCTAAACACTTAGCGGACTTTTACTGGATGTGTTCCGTCTTGTAGTCAGTAGACTTGATACTGAACTGACGCTAGTCACTTTCATTGTTTCTGTACAGCTTCCGCCAATTTTATGCCATTCAAAACTCAAAAAATCATGACTTTCAAACGTTCAAAACTTTCTTCGGAAGAGTTGTGGCGCAGAGAACGAAAGCAGATTCGGAATGAGCGTTTGAAGATGGTTTTAATGATATACATCTCTTTTTGGTTTGCCAAATCATGCTGGTATTCTTTCTTATTAGAAGAAACGAGGGCATAGCATGCTATTGAACATGCCAGACTTCCATTTCATGTTAGTTGCATCAGAAGCTTTAGTCTTTTTCATTCTTAACACGTTGACGACGAGCCATTTTTTGAAGGTCTGTCCCTGTGGACGAACCGTTTCCGGGCATTTTCACAGCCGGCTGCATATATGTATGCATGCATCTATGCGTGAGATACAAAAATGCAAGTGGGTGGGGAAGCTCCGCCCACTTTTGGCAAGCCCCGCCCACTTTTCAAAAATGCTGGAAATCGCTCAAAATCAATGAATTCGTGCAAATTCCGCCATTTTTGAAAAGTGGGCGGAGCTTGCCAATCGGGGGCGGAGTTTGACGGTGGGCGGGGCCCGTATAAAAGTTACTTGAGGTCTTTGCGTTCATCTACGGCCTCATCCATGCTTTTTATGAACAAAAAGGGTCCGTGTGAGGAGTATAAAAGCGGGCGGAGTTTGCCAAAAAGGGGCGGGGCTAATACATGAGATACATCTGAGCCTATGTTGGTTATATGAACAAAAACTGAGAGGATTGGACAGATAGCATTGAAATTAAGGCCGCCGCGCACCATTGCGCGGCGTCGTCCACAGGGACAGACTACCTGCCGCGCACCATTGCGCGGCACTGTCGTCAACGTGTTAAAACAGAGGCTGAGTGGACTGCAAAAATGTTCCTGTGACAAAATTCACATCACTATAAGATTGTTTCGGTCCGTTATGTTTTGCCATTTTCGCTGATGGCATGAAATAAATATTCAAAATCTAAACTTTTATTGCAGTTGATTTTGAGCAAGCCTAACTAAGATATACATATAACTGGTAGAAACTTCAAAATACGTAAGAATAAACGCTGATTTTAGCTTTCCGGTAGCTTTCATTGTAAATGCTAACCAGCTAAGTGGCATCACTGCATCTGACTAAGTTTATATTGCTCAACTCTGTGTCATGATAGAGTGTGCCGAAAAAGACACAATGACTATCTCAGAAATAAAACTAAAGAGCCAGGTTTTGAAGCAAAAATGGCTCGATGATAGCATGCCAAAATCGAAAGATCTGCGGAACGTTTTCTTCGAATCTTCCTTCTAAGAAGGTTAGAATGTCGGTATTTTGACATCGCTGATCTGTATGAATATTTTTCTCACAGAACACCCAAAAAGTTTTCCTAAATAAGGTATCCTTTGCTCGAAAGACTCTTCAGGTTATTTTTCTACATTAAGTCCACTGTTTTTTCACTAATATCATTGCTTTAACTTTGAGTTTTGCAGTAGAAGCATGATGATGAGTAATTAAACAAATGACTAAAAGTAGAATAATTTACTTCGCGGTGGTGTCACCGGTTCTGTCGTAGTAACTTCGCTGCTAGTCGTAGTTGTAGTTTCTGTAGTGGTGGTAGTAGTTTTTGTGGGAGTTGGAGTCGTAGTTTCAGTGGTAGTGGTTGTTGTAGTAGTTGGAGTAGTAATTTCAGTTGTAGTCGTTGTTTCGCTGGTGGTAGTTGCCGGTTTACTGCTAGAACTTGCTTCAGTGCTTGAAGTTGTGACTGTCGTCGTCCTTGGTAAAGGACTTCCACGTATTTGTATTTCTGTAGGTTGTATCTGTCAGTTCAGCATTACAGAATTAAGAGATATAAGTTATACCTGGACATTCCTCTTGACATTTGATTATGTTCGTGAAAAAATAAATTCCTTTCGAATTTGCATAACCGTAATACTCGCATATGAAGATTCTAAAGCAAATTGTTTGGGATTTAAGCAGTGTTATCCATGCTTTTAGTACTATCGATTAACGAAATTAGCACTAAAAGTAATTTGTGATGGACTTCCGCACCTATCTGAAATTAGCGCAATACTTACTGAATTGAGAAGGTTCCGGGTTGTATGGTGCAAAATTCTTCTTCTGAAATTGAAGCAAGATCAGAAATGAAAGATCAAGTTAGACTTTTGTCTACGATTTATTTCACCGACAGACAACTTGTACTTAAATGTTGAATCTTTCAAAGTTTTTCATCGCTCTCAAGCGTGACTTTACACCAATTTGCATTGGGTAGGGGAACGAAAGCCGCCAGTTTGAGCCGCCTTTCGCCGCCAACTGGTCCTTTCGCAGTGTTGTTGCAAGTTGTTCCAGGACCAGTAATCCGCAGAGGCTACCCAAACTGGCGGCTTTCGTTCCCCTACCCATTTGCATTATGCATGTTTAGGAACTTCAGATAGTAGCTAGCTGTTTGTTTCCCACTCCCTTTCAAATTAATGTTCTCAAACTGCATCCGAGGCAATCGAATTTTTTTCAAATTCAACTTTTTACCGCAATAACTGTACACTTTCCACTTCTGAAAGAATTTCAAAGTGTAGGAAAAGCACAAACTACCACCACTGCGCTATTGGTCGCGCCCGCACAGCCTGCCGTTAATGCGAGTATAAAAGGAAAGTCAGCCCACCTCTGGGGGTTCTGTTGCACTTCGCCGCCGGCTTCGGCTGGCACCACTGCACCTCATTTTACCACCCCTCACTTCCCCTCTTCCTCATTTTTCTTTATCATTGTTTTGTATTTGTATATCCTTCGTACCCATGTAACCTTTTCATTACCCTTGATATTATCTAGTTCCTACTGTAATCTCCTTATTTAGTACTCTTAATTACCTCGTACATTACGCTTGTATGCCTGTCTATCTATTCACGTCTATATACCCAATTTCTATAATGTTATGTCATAAGGATAAACTTTAGTAATCATCATGTTTTGTGGAGAAGGGAAAAGCTAGAGAGAGAGAGAGAGAGAGAGAGAGAGAGAGAGAGAGAGAGCCAAAATAATTATACGTTACTGGACAAAGTCTTCACAATAGCCCACAACCATTTTTTAAAATATTACAAAAGTAATATTTGATAGGGAAATCTCTCATTCGCTCATCCATATACACTTTGGAGTCAAAAGCTAAAGGTTGTAAATGCCCAAAAAGCTGAAGTCTAAGCCAACGAATCTCTCATTCGCTCATCCACATACACTCCATATTAAGCGCTCTTATATACCGTTGCTGTGCTCATTTCTCTATCAGAAACTACTTCAAAGAAACTATGCTTTTTGTCTTACACCGACGTCTTACGTTTGAGTTTGACTTGCTAACTTTATCTTCGACATTCCATTTTTGAGATCATCAATAAGTTAAGATCTTAACGTACCACTGCATTCTTCCTCACATTTCCTTTGATCCCAGACATCGTAACTGATGCTCCTGTTGCGCACGCAGATAAGCTTGTCTTCATTGTCAATATGCTCGAGTCGGCAGAGTTCCGGACGATCTTAAGTGAAACGATGAAAAGCATGTAGAGTTTCCTAGACAAGGCGTTTTGTATGAGAAAATGCATTGTCATATCTAGCAGCTTCAGTGCAGCAAGTCTCCTTCTCTTCTTAGAAAAATTCATGTTTTAAGGATACTATGTTTCTTTTGGTCCCTTTAGGAAATTCTTTCTGTCTTACTTTGACGTGCAAAGCCATTTCCCACATTAGGCAACAGATCTGTGCAAAAAACGTTTTTTCTAAGAGCAAAAAATGAGCAAGCTGCAAAAAAGGCTTTTTTACGCCGCTTGGAAAGTTTCAGTTTGGAAGCTGCGAATTCGGAATAGATCAGCTTTTTATTAGTAATAAGTACACTCCAATGAGCGTGATCACATCTTTCAATGACACACGCACTTTGCACCAAAAAGAGAAGTGAGGGAGGCTGCAAACGCTATAAACTCATGGAATAAACTGAAGCTCTTTCACATCAGGGAAATGGTCTCATGCTGTTATATGTATCTTTCGACAACGCTACTAATTTATACATATTGTGATAATTGGCCATGTTCTAAATTTGACCGTTCCTTGTGAGGTTCTTCAGTTGGTTTCGATAGTACCTCATTCCAAAAATGAAGAATTGTTCGACATTTTACAGGCTCACTATCATAAGTATACGAAAAAAGTGAATTGCGAAGCGTGATTCCGAATATTACTTCTATGAAACCCATTTAAGATAAGAAGTCAAAAAACAAAGGATAAGGTAAGGTTTGACTACTTTAGATTATCAGACAAAGATTGGAATTTCAATCATTTCACTTTGCAAAAAAAGATAAAGTAAAAATTTTGAAAAAAAAAGTAAAGTATGTTTACCTCTGCAATGACTTTCACACTCAGACACCTTTGAGAAATGCTTGCCATCGCGCTTGCAGGCATATTTTGTCGAACTGTCGTTCATCTTTTTGCAAAGCTCCAGTGGTTCTTCATCAATAACATTTGCTTCGGTGGTGGTACTTGTCGCTTTACTGCTGGAAGTTGCCTCGCTAGCAGCACTTGCATCAGAAGATGATGTTGCCATAGTTGAAGTTGGCGTTGTGACTGTCGTCATCCTTGGTAAGGGCATTCCACGTTTTTGTATTTCTGCAGTGTTGTATCTGTCAATTTGGAAGTATTGGTGCAAGAGGATAGTTATACCTGGACATTCCTTTTCACATTCGCTTTCGTCTGTGAAAAAAGAAGTTCCTAAAGAATTTCCAAAACCGTAGTACTCGCATATGAAAATTCTAAAGCAGGTTGTTTGAGATTCAAGGCAGTGATATCTTTAGTTTCAGTGCAAATTTCGATTAACGAAATGCAGTGCCTGATTAAGGCCCGAACTCATTGAAGATTAGTGATTAGTGTATACTCACGGTTTCGAAGAGATTCCGGGTGACTTAGCGCAGACTTTCTTTTCTGAAATTGAAGCGACTAACAAAAGAGTTGATTTTTCATGTATAATATTTCAAGAACTGGAGCATTTTTGGTAAAAGATAAATCTTTCAAAACATTTTTGGCCCTCAAGAAAATACGCGAAATCTGCGTTATGCCCGCAAAGAAACTTTCAAACCGTATGTCTCTTAATCTTTCGTATATCTTCTTCCATACGCAATTATGAAATTGTTAATGTATATTAGATTATATTGAGTATATTAGTTGATATTGGAATCATTTGTATATGCGACGAAGTGTCGCCCATTTGCTTATGCTTCTTTAGTTTCCATGTCATTTATTGTTTTTTCGCTAACATGATGATCCAGCTTCTGACTTACCTTTACAAAACAAAACATTCACCTTATGTTTACTGTAGGAGTACGGTAAGTTTTATAAAAATCTTTTGCTATGTTTGGTCTTTCTCACCATTGGCAGCGCCTAATATACAGAATGTTTCTCTGTGCCGGAGTCGGCACCTGTCACACTTAAGATTGTAATGCGACATTTCGTAACTTGTGAATTTGCAGGAAAAAATTATGATATGTTCTACGCATTCAGAAAAAGAAGCAGAAGAAAGAAAACAATATCTGAAAAACAGTAAATAAACAAAAAATTAGGCTCGTATTGTATGTGGCACCAGCTACGTTTAGTGCACAAGATTGCGCTTGGAGCACCATTGCACCAGCATTCAAAATTTTTCAAGAAAAAAACTTCCGGTTCGATTTAATATACATGTGAGGCACAATTTGAATACTTGCGCTGTACAAGATTTTGTTGGAGCGTAAAGGCGATGGTCTTCAGTTACCTTGTTTGTACTGTAAGGATGTTTGCGAGCCGTACACACTACCATAGATCAGTATGCATTATATACTTTTTAACAAAGAACATACAGTTCCATGTGTTCCGGCTAAGACCTTTGTTTCGTTACAATAGGCATGTAGGTGGGTGGGTGGGTAGCCAGTTTACTGTCAGATGTTTCCACGAGTCTTTCCAGAAATTTATTGCTTTTCGATAGTTAATTAGTGTGCAGATTACAACAAGTTAATTAGTGTGCAGATTACAACACCTTCAAAATCGGGCACCTATCAAAGGCAATCGCTTCTACGCTTTAATTTAACTGGATTGGTGGCTGAGGCGGGGTTTCTTGAACAGGGCACGGCACAGATCGTTGGAAGCAGGCTGGACTTCGTTTCTAAAGCAAACAGCAAAGGAGATGTCGTTTTTGCGGAGGTCAGGGCCAAGCACCAAGAATAAGCGCCATTTAGCTGAACACAAGCTTTTCGGACAGGCTATTACACGATTGACATGTTCTATCGTGTATGGTGAAAAGTGTGCGCGATTTGAAAGCAACGCTCAAAGAAACAAATTGCTTGTTTACAGCGCACACAGAAGCTTATGACACCAAAATTGCACTGTATGTGTAGAAAATTATTTGCGGAAGGATTATGTAAAAAGATTTGAAAACTTATGTGAAGTAATACCTTTTCCAAAATTAGATCGTCTCCAGACGGCTCTGGAGCATATATTTCTGCCACTTCACATAAGTTTCGGATCTTTTTAGCATGGACAGATTCCCCGGCCCAAAATCTATCCCTGAGCATGAAGACATTTTCATATCATTGCTTTCCTTTGTTTTTTGCCTTCATTTCTTCTCGCTTTGTTAAATATCGCGCTCTAATGCCAAAGTCTTGTGCATGCGTAGTATTCAGCTCCAATTTGGATTTTCACTCTTATCTTACGTCTCTTCTTTCAGACTAGTAAATCTTTCTTGTATTCATCTTCTCCTAAGCAGGTAGGTCAAAGGGGACTTCGTGAAATTTCCGAAAGTCAGGGGAGAATTCGTTTTCAGAAACCCTAGAAACCGACTCGTGCCGGGCCCTGTTCTTGAATTAGTTGAGGCGGGGATGATCAGAGGGCACGCGCGAGAGAGGGAGAGACGCAGACTAAGTCGCGGGCGCGAGCGGCCTTGATCAGGTCACAAACCCCCGCCTTACAGCCGCCAGAGAATCAAAGGTTATATAAAGAAGAGGCGCCTTCTTAGATTCAAGAACGGTTACTTGACTCAAATCACTGTAAACACACTCAGTCACTCATCCATATGCCCAGACTTTCCTGGACACTGCCTTTAAGAGTCTGCACCAAGCTTGATCCGTACTAGGTTTCAAGCCAAGATAAAAAATTCGAGCCGCAAAAACGAAAATAAGCGCAACTCAGTTGGAAACAACGTTGCAATTTTCCACTCGCTCACACACATACTCTTCCCTTCAGATATCCATACATAAAGTTGCTGCATTATTTTTCGATATCTAGAAATTGATAAAAAGTAATGAGTTGAATCTTCAGTGCCTGTAGCGGTTCTGTGTTAATCGCAAATATGTGAGTATGTAGCTTATTCACTCAGGCAGCCTTGTAGATGCTCTAGTTCTTAAGAAGTATCAATTGAAGGTTTGAATATGAGAAGGCGAGAACTTAAGAGGTGCCTAACGCGGTGTACAAGCATTGACCGAATAAAAATGCAATGCAATTGTCTCATACAAAAATTAAGGATGAGCAATGTTTAGTTAGCAGTACATCATATTGCACATCCTGAATTGCTGTTTTTTAGTGCAGATGAAATTGCAAAGAGAGACAATGCTTATGAGGTACTTACGTGTCGTAGCAGTCACGGTACTTGTTACATTACTGGAGGGTGTAGCAGCTGTTGCTGCCGTCGAGCCTGTGGTAGACGGAATGGGAGCTGTAAATGTTTACTGCGCAATGGGTATGTTTACAAAATAGACACAATCTACTTTTGCTGAAGAAAACATCATGGTAAAGTTATCGCTGACGAAGTAGAGGCCATTTTCATTGCGACAATTTCAACTCTCACTTTAAGCAGTGAATGGTAGTTTTAGACACCTAATTAGGTTGTCAACGTTATTTCTCGAACAAGCTGCGAATATTATGCGATGGCTAATACCCTACATATGAACCTTACAAACGTATCGTGCAAAAACTTGAGAAGAGTTTGGATTTGCTAGTCATCCTAACCTATTTCAAAATATAAATTGTCTCGTTCTTCATGCATCGCAATTCTACTCAATATTCTTCTTTTATTACTTTAAGTAATGGTTGATCGAATTTATTTATCTTTTAAGTACAGCATTTGTTCCCCTGATAGAAAAAACACCAAATTATTCTTATTAGTACTAACCTGGACAACCGTAAAAGCAAGCCAAATAAGATCCGTAGTAAAAATTGTCATACACGCACATCCAACTGGAAAAAAAACTCAGGGGCTGTACAGGAGAAGGAAAGGCTAACTTACACCAATCTTGACTGAGGCCTGACCACTTCGATACACTTCGTAGCTTCTGAATTATAAAATCAGTACTCAGATTAATTTCAAAATCAATGCCTTATTGGTTTCTGGAACCCGAGATTATGGAAAACACAAAAATAGCTTCTGACACACAAAAAACCTTTGAAATTCTGTAAAACAAGTAATTGTATTGGGGAAACGATGGAAAGCGAGGTAAATTCACTGAAAGAGGGGCGCCGAGTTGAAGGTGTGGCACTTTGATTAGCAAGCATCATACAAGCTGTCTCCAGATAAAAGCATGTGCTGCACTCACCTGTCGTAGCAGTGACGGTACTTGTTATTGGCGTTGTTCCAGTCGATTCTGTTGTTGAAGCTACGGTTGACGGCGCCGTGGTTGAACCTAAAGATATTTGAATATTGGGAAAAAAGAATAAAACGATTCTTTATGGATTCGCCGCTGCACTAGTTATTTATTGAAATGCATTCCCATTTCAGCATTTGATTGCCTTAAAATTTATGACCTTATGTGGTCCTATCAAGAAAAAAGCCCGTTATCCTTTGGTGTCCGCAAAAGATGGAGGATTATAAGAAAGGATGCCAGTCTTTGGGTTGAATTAATTTTTAGTATCAATTCAAGTGTGGACGTAGCTTGACTACAATACCAATCGCACAAAAGTATGAATTTGTACAGAGAAAATGTCAAACTTTTAGTGTTCTTAACAGAATAGACACGTTATTTTAGCGTCATACTTATGAGGTCTCAGGCATAAATCGTGTGTTCTGCCAACTGTCGGCCTAGTTAGGATTCACCTACCATCCCTAGAGGTAGTTATGAGCATAGCTCTCCATACGGCAAATTTGTCAGGCGATGAGTGCTAATTTGGCTTTGAAAATGGGCACTTACCTTGGCATTTTTCAAGACATTTGTCTCTGAAGAAGTCGAAATACTTTTCCTTCTCGCACCAGTAATATCTGAAAAATTGAATTTTGCTGAAGTCAAATTAGCCTAAACAATATTCTACATACCTAGTTTCCAGGAAGGTCCACTCTTCGCATTCTGGCACTAAATTTTATATTGTAAATAATTCGATTTCACCACACAATACAAATTAGGTTTGTTTCATCTTTTTTAATTCGCTTTTTTTTCACTTTATTTGAATTTTTCACTGCATCCACTTTTTCGGCTAGAATTTAAATGCAAATAATCGTATTCTTATGGGAACATAGCTTATGTATGTGATATGTTGTCTACATAACGCCATTTGGCAATTCAACATTAAGTAGTTGAAAATTTTACAACTTGAGATTCTCAGCCCTATCAAGTGGGGATTAAAAGACTGAGAGTATCACTTTTTTCTTAATTTACTTCCATCCCAAAGCCCCTTCCATATGCATTTCCCTTCTGGCTTACACCTACAAAGTAAGACGATTAGCAGCCATACCAACAAAATTTGAGCGAGTCAGTTTGCTTGCTGGTTTGTCAGAGACGGGGTTTTGGAGAGAAAAAGGCTTTCCTATAACTTGTTTTCTTTTAGTCTCCGTACTTAGCACAGCCTAGCGTACACCAAGTTAATGAAGGCCTCCATTTTGAAGTAATACTGAAAAATTTCACATCACTCTTCAAAAACTTCAATTGATCTGTGCAGGCTTCAAACACGAGTCTTTGGAATTCGTAGATAGTTTAAGTATCAGTAAGTCAAACAAGGAAGCGATAAGTTTTATGAACCTTGCAAAGTCAGTTTCAGTTTTCTCACGGGCTTCAAAAATAACAAGCGAACTCAGACAACTCACGGGAGCTTTCCGAAAACAAGCCATTTTGGCAAACTTCCCGAAGAACTCATTTAACACAGAAGTGAATGGAAGCGCAAAAATGGGAGTCTCCCGAAAACTTTGACGTCAGGAGCAACGCAGTTAGGAACTTCCCGAGGATTTCCTCGGGAAGTATCTATAAATGCGAAACTTTCCGAAAGCTTACAAGAAAAGGGAATTTTCCGAGAGCTTCGCGGTATTTCGTAATAGCGCTACGTTCATTCTAATGACTGAAGTGTCGTAAAAAGTCACAGAGTCTTCATCAAACTTATGTAATGGTCAGTGCGATATCTGATTTAGCGCAAGTGGGGTACTTGTAGTGTTTCTTTTCTATCGTCCTCTCGTTTTGTTTTGTAAATTAACTGACTTCTCTTCTTTTCATGTGGCATTATTCAAATGTATTTGCATCACTTGTCGCTAAGGGTGAAGTGACCTCTTGCTTGTTACTTTGCACATCATGATTACCGTCCTCTGTCGCAGTGCGAGGTGTGAAGCTATGACCCAGAGCCAAAACAAGCAAATAGATGATCCGGCTATCGAACCTTAATATATGTGCGACCATCTATTGTACAGCTCTTTGCGAGTGCGGCTGTTAGGATCCACCATGTAATAAGGAGATGACTCTTTTTGACTTTACATTTACTCATGACTTTTATGTATTTCGAAACCCTTCTAAATGTGACTTTGTGTTGTTTTTTATATAAAGAGGAAAACATGAATTTAGGCAAGTCTTTTTCAGCGTCTGATTCGCCTTGCTTTCTTTTCTGTATTTCGTAACAGTGCACTTGCGCTATTTTTAGTCTGCTATGCCAATATTGCTTTTGTTATAGATGGTGAAAGTTTAGCAATTCAAATTGTGTAAATAGGATTGTTATCTTAGGTAGTAATTAGGCTCGGCTCTGGTTCCCAGTTGAGTGCTTGTAATTTCGATTTTTCTCCTCCTACTAGTGAAGCAGTTATGTGAAGGTGCTATATGTGCGTGCGCTTCGGGACTTCGGGGGTCAACTCACTACTATGATAATGTTTCTTTCTCTTTTTTTAATTTAGCGCTGCTTTTTTTACTGAAGCTGTAACCAGCAAACTTTCTCTTTTTCCAATGTGCATTGTTTTCAGTGCGTTGGCATTCACCAACAATAGACGAGGCCAACAGAGAACTTTGACAGGTTTCAACTGTAGGAGGGAAGCAAAAATCGACTTTCAGGTGAGTGTGGTCGGTCTCTTCACCTAACATCAATCGTAGTGTGTAGTTAGCCACATTTCAACCCAACTTTATGTAAAAGTAAACTAGTCATGTAAAAAGTTCTCATTCAAATCATTTTGTTAGAATTCATATTGGATGCGCTTAGCCTTGGCAACGAGGATTTGGAGGGATACAGATTGAATGCAATAAAAAGCTTGCGCACTAGGTGCATTGGTGTTTCGTAAGCGACTTTACCTACTCAAATGATTTGGTTTCTGGATCTCCTTGGGTACATCCGATGAAGAACGCGAGAAATAATTCAACTATCTGCTGGAGCAAAAAATTTCCACTGCGGCCAAATCAGGACCTGTATCGCAGAAGCACTGTAAGTTTTCTAGAATCGTCTTTTACCTCTAAATTCAGTTTTACAGCGAGGATGTCCATTAATTATCGTCTCAACCAAGGAAAACTTGTGCCTTCAAAGGTTCAAACTTAGCCTCAGTTGTTTTTATACTAAAAATTTGTTTTCCAGAAATACAAGGCTACGCAGGTCGGATTTGGTAGAGAGACAAGGCAAGCATGACGAAGTCAGAATGGAAGAGGAAAGCGCTACACAGTGGAATTTGATCCTGTCGCTGTCCGTTTGATCCTGATGCTCAATTTCTGATCCATCATAAGTCTTCTCATGTAACGTCGTGCCTTTGCCTCATTAGTTAAGCATTTTTTCTCATTAATCACTGCTTCATTTACTTACTCCCCGCTTACCTCTATATTCAGTACATGCTTACTTCAAATCTCACTGTCAATATGATACTCCTTACGCATTACTCGGGCACAATTGCAATTCAATCTTTTAAGAACTTCAAGAAATCCTCCCATTTCTGTCGATATGTTATATCTACTGCTATAACAATAAATGATGGAGCATATCTGTTTTTGCGCGTAACTACTACTAGTGCTCCACCCTTACTACTACACTACTTTGAGTAGCTGTACTAAGGGTGCGGCTTTATGAAGTAGCAGGATTCATCATCAAGGTTCGGTACAGCTACGCAGAGCCAATCTGAAGCCCTCAGAAAGTTCTGTAGATAAGTTCTCGGGAGATTTCCCACTTCTTGCGAACTTCCCGAGGACAATTTTGCAAACTTCCTGAGCGCTTCACGGGAACTTCCGCAGGTGACCCGAGGAAAGTTCTCTCACACACCTCGGGAAGTTCCCATGGATTGTCTGAGAAGCTTCAACTTGCTATTTAGCAATGCGCTCAGTACATTTCGTCACCGCACAAGCGTTCAAATTCAATGTTGCAATAAGAATAAACGCATTCTTATCTTTCAAAAATCACTCCAAACCTAATTGTGGAAGAAGGTAATGCAAAACCACAAAGATCCTAAAAAGGTAGCCATATGCAGGCGTTGAATCCTATTTTGAAAACAAATTTGACATATAATCAGTACTTTTGCATGTTTATGTTATATGTTTTGCATGTTGATCAAAATAAAATCGATACAGATTATAAACCAACCTTGCGTCGTACCAGTAACCGTTGATGGTGTTGGTGTCGTCTCTAAAATTACGATAAATTAACAATTCAAGCTACCATGTTGTTCAAGTTGATCCAAAAACGTCATAACATAACTTGATAGCTTATTTCAATATACATATTTTAATGCACATACATCGTAAAAATACCTTCTCTGTGAAGGTATACAGCACGTAATACTTCATTACTGTTTCGTTAAACTATCCGTCTCCAATTTTACTCTAAAAAGATTGCCGGAACAAAGGGAGGAATGAGTGGAAAAGTGCTCGAGTCAAAAGGTGACTGGATGGTTCTTGCCCTAGAATAATCGTTTATTTTCGCAAGCTTTAACGTTCTTTTTGTGTTCTGATGGCTTGTTTCTGCTATTATAGCAAAAAAATAATAATTAATTTCTAGTATGTGAAATGAAAACAGCTGATGCACTGTGAAGTCTGTGAGACCTACAGCTATTCAATGTAAATTGCGCACCTTGTATTTAGCACCTTGGATTGTGTCTCCTACCATAGATTTTATGTCAATAATCTCGAATATAGGAGTAGTGAGAATAATAAGGATAGGAAAATAGTTCAGCACCAACCTTGACATTCTTTGGAACAAAGACTCCTATCCGTGTAAACTTTCCTAGTTTTGTAGCATAAGAATAATCTGGAATGAAATCTACTGCGTAAACACACACAGTAAAGCGATACATTTACACTTACAGAGAGCCTTGGTAATTCCATCCAACGCAATCGGACACTAAACTTATTATGTCAGTTTAATTTCAAGAACAAAACATAAGTTTTGAGCAGCGTGCACTCTCTCATGCTTATTGTTTCAAATTAGTTTTTATTGTACCCAGTTTTTGCTGGGTAAAAGTTTTTGTAACTGCTTGTGTCAGCAAACGTGAGAGTTTGCTTTAAAGAACCGTAACACGCTTACTGTTGCGAGGATCTTCCAGAAATTCTTACCGCTCTTCCTTGTGGTACTAACTTATTCTTTCTAACAATAAGTAAAGAAAAGCAACTTAGATTAAGCAAGCCACATCTTATTATGAACGTATGAATTCCTTATAATTAGTAGTGCTATGCAAAACAGTTGCTTGGAAGTATTTTCGAACGAATGGCGAAGCGCCCCTAATTGGTCCGCAGAGCCGGCTACGACTGCACAATCTTTGAGCGAGGCGGAGCAAAGGCGCGCAACATAGCGATTTTGCGCGCAAGCATGCTCACTCATTTTGTACATCTATCATTCAGCTCTAAGACAAGCCTTGGCTAGAATATAATGTATGCTTCTTAGCATAATGTTTCTTTGCTAACCGTGCGTTGTAAGTCATGCACTTTTTGTTAGGCTGCCCCATAAGTCTTTCAAATCTGCATTTTCACCGACATAAGTTAGTTCTACCTCAATTGCAATAGGTTGGTAGGTGGTAGGTTGGTTAATACCATTCTACAGATTGAAGCAATCTATAAGATGACGTTTAGGCAGTTCCAGGCAAATCTAGGCGCATGACTTTTCCGCCTTTTTCGCCTGGGGCCCTAAGACTGGGTTCATACTGATTCCCATGTTCCGGAACTGTTCCCGCACAGTTCCCGCACACTTCTCGCACTGTGCTGGAACTGTTTCCGAACTGTGCTGCATGCGCTGCAGCCGCCTCGCACCGTTCTGAACGGCGGGAGTCGAAGAATCTCAACAGTTTTCAACGGTTTTTATTTCAGATTTCCCTCATTTGGGCCTTATTCCTCTACCCGCTTCCCTTTTTGATTAGCAGAAACTTGAACTTGAAGCGGGGTTGAAAAATGAGCGCTATTCTGCCTGCGTATCGACAAAATGTCTGTTCTTGCGCTTGTCCGTCCTCGCTCCGTTTTCTTTTTCCTCAAACATAACTCATTTGTTTCAGAAAGCCGCTGCATGGTTTCCGCAGGCATCTATCTCGAATTAGGACATGCAAAGATTCTGGAAATGCGGAAATGGGAACTTTGCTCTTGTTTTCTAATTTCGTTTTTGGGCATTCTCAACCCCTTTCCTTTTTTCATATCGTATCGCTTCTCCGTTCTCTCTTCTACCCGGCTTCTAGTGATCTTTCATGTGCATGTTTTGGGTAAGTAAAGAAGAACAACGTTCATTTCTTGACCCCGCTCCAAGTTTTCAACTTACCTCATCACAAGTAGAAGTGGGGCAGAGGAATAAGGCCAAAATGAGAGAAATCTGGAAGAAAACCCGTTGAAAGCGGTCAAAATTCTCCAACTCCCGCCGTTTAAAACGCGCGCGGGGCGGTTGCAGCGCGTGCAGCACAGTTCCGGAACAGTTCCAGCACTGTGCGAAAACTGTGCGGGAACAGTTCTGGAACATGGGAATCAGTAAGAACCCAGCCTAAATAAGGCACTGCCCAAGGGTCAGCGCAAATTTATTCATCCCTTCCGGCCCTAAACCTTCTCGCTTACGCCGTGACCGTAACCCGAAAATGGCTTCGCTCACATTGAGTTTGCGCTAGGACCATTCTAAGTCATTCGCATTGCGAGTTGCTGCCTCTTGGCCAGCGCCTAATTTAGGATCCCCTCTTCGGTTTTCAGGCGAAAATTGTATAGGTCCAGATTTGCCTGTATACTGCCTTAAGGCTTGCCCCATATTTAATCCACTTGATCGGCTTGATCCATTTCGTCCCCTTCGCTAACAAAACGGTGAATTGTCAATAGCGACGCGGATGTCCACTTTATCCACTCCATCCACTTTCTTAGTGGCCATTTTACTAATTTGAGTTATAGTAAAGTGGGTGAAGTGAATCATGCGGATCAATTGGATCAATTATGGCGTGTGTCTAAGTTTCAAACCTAAGTATTGCTCATAAGTTAATGTTGCTCCAAATCATTTTTCTACCTTAAGTTCACTGTTCTTTCTCTAATATTATTGCTTTAACTTTTAGCTTTGTAGTAGGAGCACTTCATGTGATGAATAATTATAGAAATGACTAAAAGTAGATTAACTTACTTTGTGGTGTTGTCTTCGGTTCGGTGGTAGTTGCCGGTTTACTGCTAGAACTCGCTTCAGTGCTTGAAGTTATGACTGTCGTCGTCCTTGGCAAGGGCCTTCCACGTTTTTGTATCTCTGTAGTGTTGTATCTGTCAATTTAGAAGTATTGATGGAAGAGGATAAGTTATACCTGGACATTCCTTTTCACATTCGCTTTCGTCTGTGAAAAAAGAAGTTCCTAAAGAATTTCCAAAACCGTAGTACTCGCATATGAAGATTCTAAAGCAAGTTGTTTGAGATTCAAGGCAGTGATATCTTTAGTTTTAGTGCAAATTTCGATTAACGAAACGCAGTGCCCGATTAAGGTCCGAACTCATTGAAGATTAGTGTAAACTCACGGTTTCGAAGAGATTCCGGGTGACTTAGCGCAAACTTTCTTCTCTGAAATTGAAGCGACTAACAAAAGAGTTGATTTTTCATGTATAATTTATTTCAAGAACTGGAGCATTTTTGCGTATATTAGTTTATATTGGATTCAATTGTATACGCGACGAAGTGTCGCCCATTTGCTTATGCCCCTTTAGTTTCCATGACATTCATTGTTTTTTCGCTAACATAATGATCCAGCTTTTGACTTACTTTCACAAAACAAAATTTCACCTTATATCTACTGTAGGAGTACGGTAAGTTTTACAAAAACCTATTGCCATTTTTTGTCATTCTCACCGTTGGCAGCGCCTTATATACAAAATGTCTCTCTGTGCAGGAGTCGGCATCTGTCACACTAGTAAACTGTAAAGTGCAATCTCCTTAGTTTGTGAATTTGCAAGAAAGGATTACGATATGCCCTATGCATGTTCACGAGAAGAAGCAGAAGAAAGAAAACAATAATTGAAAAACAATAAAAATCAAAAAATTAGGCTCTATTGTATGCTTTGGCACCATCTATGTTTAGTGCACGTAATTGCGCTTGGAGCAGCATTGCACCACCATTCAAAATTTTTGGATGCTTTTATAAGCTTGGAGTAGAGGTTTGGAGCTGTTTCGGGACAACAAGATTTATTAGATAAATTGGGTAACAAGTTTGTAAAATTGTACGAATAAGAAGAGTATATGACTACTCTTTCTTGAGCGACCCTCTCAAGTAATGCAAGGCACATATCCCCGTAAACAAGAAATTCACAGGGTCGAAGTGTTCTTTCGCTTTCACAACTAGCGAAAAACAAATTGAACAAAAGTAGGCCAAAGTTTCAAATACTGGTCACTTTTTTTTCAACAACCGTGTTTCTGAACTTGCTGAGGCCACTTAGCGCTGAAATAATCGGCAAGAATCTATAAGTAAGCGTTCATAAAGATCAAATTCCCATTTTTTAGGCACACCCCGTGTACGAGCATATATTATGATGCTTTTACC